GATCCCATGTCCCCAGCTTGCTGCATGTGGAAATTACATTAACAGCAATTGCGTTCCTCAGCACAGAGCAATCAAAGGATCAGGTTATATAACAACCAGTCTTTTCATCCAAGCACAGAGCATGTGCTGAACAAATTTGTGCTAATAGTTTACATCTTTGGTCAGTAAATGCAGCCCCTTCCTGCCCTGTGGCTGCGGTAGTGGCTGCCGCTGGAGGGGCTCTGACTTATCCAGGTCGCAGAAGGATACAGACATGAGCCCAAGTCACAACTTTGTCATTCTTTTTTTTCTCAAGTCACCTGCAAATAATCCTCCTGATAGATAGTTGTATGAAATGTATTTTCAAATTTGTTTGGATTTGCACCCAACTAATTCATATGAGCAAGTCACAGCCTTGGGTTTTCACTGTGAGCACCTTCATGTTTCAAAAGAACGAAAGATCACAGCTACATTTTATATTAATTTATTAGAAAAAAGATACACAGTTTAATGTGCAAATATATACAACAAACATTACAATGAAACATCAGGAAGGCAAGCTCCCTCCTCTATCAATGACTTAACAGAGATGACTGTTTAATGCTTCCCCACAGATTTACAAATACAAAAAATATATAATGCTTCATTTGCACATGACAGAAGCTTATTTTTATTTGAACAAAAAATACGCTGGCTTTGACATGGCAAAAGTCTGCTATTTTGGTGGCTTTTTTTATTTTTTAAACCTGAGCAAGTTTTGCAGAACAGGGGAACAAAGAACAGGCATTGCCCTGTGCTTCATTCTCATCACAGCATCTGATGGTCTTTGAATTACTAAATCACTGAATTACTTCAAGTGAATGCAACTCCAAAATCTACATCTATGATGTAATTTGTGATGTGGAAGAGAGTGGCCACTATTGTTGGCAGAAGTGAGCAGAAGTGAAAACACTTAGCTTGAGTTACATGGCTGATGGAACTTCTCAGGTAAATTGTTCCTATCTGCCAATAAGGATTTTAATGCTCCCTCCTGTAATACAGCAGTTATAAATGGAAAACACACTTTAGTCCAAAAATCAAGTTGAGTCTTGGATTCTGCTCTGTCTTGTTAAAATGCATGATTGTTGAAAGACTGCAGAATAAGGCCATATTAAACTCGAATGGAGCAAAGACCTTGGGAATGCTTATGAGTCCCAGTAAGTACTCAAGTCCTGCTTGCTCCAGGAAAGGAGTTCAGATCAAATTGATTTCTTTATGATCATTCGGGATGTATTTTTGTATCCAGCGGCCACAGACATTTCCAGTAAAAGAGATCCATCCCGTCTCTGCTCTCCCCCGTCTCATGCCTGGGTGCTGGCATGCCGGTCACTCACCCACCGTGTCAACAGCAGGGGGAATACAGCTGATGAAATCATTTGGCTAGTTTGCTTTCCACACCTTCCCACAGCCAAGCTTCATCTGGCAACTTCATGAAGCAAGATTTCCAACTAAGCAAAAACTCTTCCACTTGTTTAGCACTCCTCTCTTTTTAAATGGGAAACCCCAGGGGTGCTGGAGAAGGCACTACAAGTCCTGAGCTGGGCGACACCATTTGCCGCAGCAGACGAGCGTTTCCTAAGGGACCACTGGCCATCTCATGCTTGTTCAGGCACAGAGCATCTCTCTGCATGAGCTCTTATGGTACTTTTTAAAGAAATACATGCAAATAACAACGTAACAGACCCTCAGCAAAAAGAAGACACTGCCAGGAACGTGCCTGGCTGACCCTGAACGCAGTGTGAAGCAAATGCTCCTGCCTGGGCTACATTTTCAGACATGACGCTGTTGAAAGCTTACTCAGTTTTCAGGGGCTTTCACAGGTTTTCTTTCCTCTTTGGCCAAGGGATCATATTGAAGATCAGACTTAATTAAACAGTGCCTGCTTTCTGCTCTGCAACATCCCTCCTCTCCTACCAGTAGGCTCCTATGGGTGCTGACCCTGGGCTACCATGTCATGTCCTGGCCAGTCATGTCCTACAAGTGGGGGACTCCTGTGGCTCCATGCACACCAAAATCCTTAATAACTGGGTGACCACAGCAGATTCGGCTTTTGCCATGCTCCCACCAATCTCCTTCCCTTCACCCTGTTTAGAACATTGTGGAAATTGGCTAAAACAAAAAAAAATAAAAGCCTTGGAGGAGCACTGCTCCACTTTTGAAACTTTTTTTCTTTTTTAAAAAAAATTTACTTGTTTCTGTTTCACATGTTGTGCTTACACCCCAATGCATGTCACAGATCCCGGAGCAGAGGGTGAAAACAGATTTAAAATGAAAAATCTGAGTAAACTCCCTAATTTAGTTTTTAGTTTAAAAAGTGAAAGTTAGAAATCAGTGAGCAT